CTCTCTCTCTCTCTCTCTCTCTCTCTCTCTCTCTCTCTCTCTCTCTCTCTCTCTCTCTCTCTCTCTCTCTCTCCAGCCCCTCTCTTCACACTGCTTCCTGCTCCTCTCCCCTTCCCAAATCCATCTTCCCCCCCTTCTTCCCTCCCTTCCATGAACATGCACATGCTCTTGTTCCAACTCTGCTCCTCCATTAAACAAAAAGTTGCTCTGGAATCAAACAACAGCATATTGAGCACGATCTAGTGACGTTGTCCTATCAAGCAAAACAAAAAACAAAAAAAAGTACTGTGAGAACAAATAATCATAAATACGAGCACAGGGTGATCTCATTCTATCGTACCAAGTCCATCTCCGCATACTGAATTTTCTTCTCAAGCCCGCTGATTGCTGTGAGAAGTTCCTGTTCTGCTGCCTGAACACCTCTAGCTCCTCCAAGCTCCACCATTTCCTTCACATACCGCTCCTTCGTCTTCTTCAAATCTAGTTTCCAAGGATGACATATCGTAAAGGGAAAGTCATCAACAAGCCAAATGGCCTCCTCACCCCTCCGCATTCATTTTCTCAAGGTGAAATAATTGAAAAACTTCAAAAAAGGAAGGTTTGGTGAAAATATCATGGTTACTCCAGACCCGGACACGGATCAATCCAGACGTCCGGCAGGACCTATGACTGGACTGCTCCAGACTGTCCAGAATGACACACCCCCTGACAAAAAGGTTTTTTTGTCCTTCGATTTGACTACAAATTTCGAGAGGCGGTTAACGGAGGCCTCAATTTTCAGACAACTTCTCATGCCATTTTAACCAGTGCTGGTCGCCGGATGGACCGGGGGGCACTCCCCCGACCGGTATCCACCCGGTTGGACCGGCCGGTGCCCCGGGCCGGTTCACACCCGGTTGCCCCCAGCGCATTTTCGCTGGGGCCTTAAAAAAAAAATTTGGCGGCACGGGGTCGTTTTTTTGGCGCCTGGGGGGCAGGCCGCGACCCGAAACTTGAAAACCGGGTCCGGCAGCCCCTCCTTTTTTTCGTTTGAAAACGGCCCGATCTTTGCCGTCGATTGTCTCAGATCGGCGGCCAAGATTGGCCCCCGTTTTCAAACTTGCCAAGTGCGCGATCTTGGCCAAGCGCGCGAACTTGGCCCCTGTTTCGGAATCGTCATCGAGCAGCGTCGTCGTTGAGCGTCGAGCAGCGACTTCGAGGCAGCTCCCGCGCGTCGAGCAGCGTCCAGCGTCGTCGTCCAGGATCGCCATGGCTCCGTAGCCCCCCGGCTTCCGCGTCTTCGAGGCAGCCCCCGTGCCGTTGCCCCCCCCGCCCCCCGCGCCGG